AGATTCTGGCTCGAGGGCCCACCCCAGCCTCGGGTAGCGAGGTCCTCGCCTGTTGCGCGAGATGGTACTTCGCTTGGTGCTTCTGGGAGCTTGGGCCATCACGGCCCAAGGCCAGCCACTTGAGCGAGTTGGCCAGGGCTTAGTCGGACGACAAAGTCGGAAGGGCACCCTTTTTCCGTAAGCCTTGCGGCACTTCATGTTTTTTCTTTTCGTGAAGCCAAGGCAGTGCGACTGCAGCCCTTGCAAAGAATACCCAGAGGAAGATTTCAGTCCCGATCCCTGCTTCGACAAGTGCATCGTCACGGGAGACCCTCACGTGGAGCACAGCTGGCGTCCAGGATTTGAGAACGGATTCGACTTCCAGCCTCAAGGCATCTGGCGCTTGGCCAAGACGGACACCTGCGGCGGCCCAGTGGAGGTCCAGGCCTTCTTCTGCCACTACTTCTTCACCAGACTGAGTGCCTAGACTTGGGTATTTACTTCGCCCTGAAAGCATGAGCATTCCGATTCCTGCATGAGGTCATGAGAGTCATGAGGCGAAGGTGCGTTGGAAACTGTATCTGTCATCAGGCAGTGCCATTGCATACGCGATCACCATCAACGGTGGCGACAAGTACATCATCAAACGGGTCGGGGATGAGTTCGAGGTAGGCAGTCCCGACGTGCGGGGCTTCAACGTCAGCTTCGAAGGTGACCCAGTGTCCGGGCGACTCCTCGTCAGTGACGACAAATGTGTGCGCATCAAGATGAACACCGTGCCCCTTTATGACCGTCGGACGAGGTTCCTGGATAACCCCTACCTGAACAATATCTTCATGAACATTTGGGGGTGTGCAACAACGGAGGAAGGCATTTGCGGTGCTCCGAGTCTCGGCTCCGTAAGGGTCCGGGTCCGTTGCCTGAGTCAGAGCATCGCAGAGTCGTCCCATCCCCAGGAAGCTGTCGAAGGAATGGATCGACCCTGAGAGTGACGAGAATCTCTTCAAGACCCCTGACCAGCCGGATCTTTGGAAAGACCTCTGCGAGTTCTGCCAGGAGGGAGGCTGGGAAACCATGCAAATCAAGTGCCGAGCTAGTGAGCTGTTAGTGGCCTGAGGCCAAGCCACCACACCACCGGGCTGCCCGGCACCACCAGGTGGAGAGGAGCCCGGCGAGCCTGGCTGCGAGTTCCTCAGGCCTTTCGAAGCAGCACATCCTGGGAGTGAAGATAGGACCCTGTGACGCAGGCCCTATGGCAGCATTTGGGACAAGGAGTGCGTACCTCAGCCGGGCGATTCAGCCAACAACGCCCTCCTCGAAGAGCTTCAAGACGGTGGCGAGAACTGCGACTCTCGGCTCAGTAACGCTCGAAGCACGGCGCAGCGCTGGCTTTCGCGACGGTGCCTTAGTTGTCCTTCTGTTGCGAGGTGGCCTTCGCTCGCCTGAACAACGGCCCGAAGTTCCCGGGAAGAACCTGCAGAGACTGGTGCCAGGAGCCTGGGCCGAGTCATCCTGTCCTCTGCGGTCTGCCTCTGCACGCAGGACCGCGGTGCGGAGTGCGTGACAGTCCGGGACGATGTTGCTACGGGGAAGTTCCCTACCGAGGACAACAGCAACGCCTGCCAACTGACTGAGGCTGACCACCCCAACAACTTCATCGGAGGAGACCCAGAGCAACCCAAGACCTGTGATACGGTCAGCAGGGACACGCATTGCGTGTGTAAGAAGCCCGACAACCCGGCGCACCTTGTTACAGAACCCTTAAGCGGCCTAAGTGTGTAATGGTTTTGATATATGTGGCCACCGGTGGACGTCGGTGTAGTCGCATCGCAGCTAAGGCCAGGAGAGTCAGTGGAGAAGACCTGCTTGGAAGCCCGGGATGAAGCCGGATTTAACTTCTCGCACTTGGATGCGGCAGACCTCTGCCGAAGGGAGGCTATGTGGTTCCAGCGAGTGACCTACCCACGGAACACCGAACAGACGACCTTCGAGCAACGTCTTCTGCTGTACTGCGCCCAGGACGTCTGCGCCACGGACGCGGAAGACAGGCCAGAGGTGGCCCGAATCTATCAGGATCGGGACCCCGACCTGAACGACAAGCCCAATGTGTGCAATGGCCCCCTGCTGTGCAACGTCGTGTGCTCCAGCCAGCTTATCGAGAATTGGGGCGAGTGTCTGAACCGCTGTGAAGCCCACCGATCGAAGCTGATCCATGCGGTGACGCGCTACTGCAAGAACGGCATCTGCACTTCGTATCTGGAAGAGACAGAAACAGTCGGCCTTCTCCAGCACCGCCGATCCAACCGCTCAGAGATCATGAGCTCGCGCAGGTCTTGGGGATCTCGTCGCAGTTGGAGCTC